TCCTCCTCCTCCTTCCTTTCGTCTCCTTCCCCCTTCCTCTCTTCTTCTTCTTCTTCTTCTTTCCTCCTTCCCCTTTTTCTCCTTCCTCCCTTCTCCTTCTCCCCCTTCTCCTTCCTCCTCCTCCTTCTCCCCCTCCCCCTCCTCCTCCTCTTCCTCCTCCTTGAAACTGGGAGATCATCAGGAACCAGAGTTGGAAGGTCAACTCCCACAGAGAAATTTCCAAGCCAACACTCTGTGCAAGAACTGGACGTTTACACGGAGGGACAGGCAATCTCTCCTCCGCTCACACACGTGTGCGTGAGACCAGCCTGTGAGCCGCATATCGCAGCATTCGCCAAACGGCACATTTTCCACCCATGCACCGTGGTGGGTGCTGTCGGCCTCCTTGGAGGACAAAGATAGGGAACGAGAGATGGACAACCTCATTGGACATAAAGTAATGATATCTGTGTTGCATTGTTATGCGCCTCTGCAGGTACTGCATTATATCTAAGCTTAGCCATGGACGCCTCTACAGCTTAGTTTGCATTTCATGAACCATTCCAGTCCTTAAATTGTCTTCCGCTGTTGTCCTTTTGGTTTCAACAGGAGTTTTTTTTTTTATTTCAACAGGAACTGCTTTCGTCTTCCTGGGTTTTTAAAAGATACATTTTTAAAATAAATAACAAAGTTGAGTGTTTTAAAAGCTGAATCCCATCTCCAGTATCCTATAGAACTGAGTGAGTATTCTCACTCAGGAACTTTAAGCCTTGTGGACTTCAACTCCCAGAATACCCTAGCCAGCTTGGCTGGCTAGGGAATTCTGGGATTTGAAGTTCACATGGTTTAACCAGGGCTGTCCAACCTTAGCAACTTTTAAGACTTAAGACAGGGTCCCCAAACTTAGCAACTTTAAGACTTCTGGACTTCAACTCCCAGAATCCCCCAGCCAGCCGTGTCTGTTTCTTTTTTTTCTCTTAACCTCCTAAAGTGGAGAGAGATTGCAGAGGAAGGGATTACAAGAGAGCAAGCGATGCTGGCTGGGGAGAATTCTGGGAGTTGAAGTCCACCAAGTCTTAAAGTGGCCAAGTTTGGAGACCTCTAACTTGAGCAAAGCTGGCTGAGGAATTCTGGGAGTTGAAGTCCACAAGTCTTAAAGTTGCCCAGGTTGGAGACCCCTGGTTTACACTACTGAGAAAGACTGAGAAAGACTGTCCTAGATTTACGATTCACTTACAACCAGTGGAACTTTCCAATTTGCCATAAGTCCTCGAAACAGAGCAGGGAAAATATACGTACGTACGTACGTACGTATGTATGTATGTATGTATGGTATTCAGCTTTGTTCGGGTATTTTCCCACATCATTATGGTTGTGCTTTTAAAGTTGTAGCAACATTTCGGCAGAATCTCAACTGCCATCATCAGGCTTCTGTATTGTGTTGTGAGTCAAACTTTCACAGCCGTTACGGACGGACACAATACAGAAGCCTGATGATGGCAGATGAGATTCTGCCGAAATGTTGCTACAACTTTAAAAGCACAACTATAATGACGTGGGAAAATATCCGAACAAAGCTGAATGCCATACATGTAAGTAACCGCGAAAACTTAAGAAAACATATATATATCAGAGGTCTTCCTCAAATATTGTGGTTACTGTTAAATTCACATCTTCATTTGTAAGTTTGTGGCTGCACAGTAGAAAAATGAAATGATCTGACTTTTGGCCATATTTTAAAGAGTATTTTCCATATAAATGTCCAGATGCCACAGAACATTTTTGAGTCGCTGAAGTGCCATTGGCTTGTTTTATTTTTACTCTTGGTTTTAGTTTGTTTCCTTTTAACTCTTCGTGTAGAAATTTAAAAAAAAAATATTGAAAAGTTAAATGGAATTGAATTTCCATCATGGAACATGCTTTGTCTGTTTTCCGTAGCATCATCCGAGAGCATTGTTTGGTGTTTTTTTTAACAGAAGACCCCAAATTCATTGCAAGCTTTTCGATTTCCATTCTGAAGAAACAGCTTCCTTTAAGTCACTAAATGAACTGTTGTAAGTCGAGGACTACCTTTTTGGGCTTCTGCTAATCCAAAGGGTGGGGGCGGGGGAGGAAAGTCTTAGATGTGTTTGAAGCAAGCTCCAATTTTGGGGGTTTGGGGGATCAAATCAGTAGAGAAATTAGCCTTTCTGTGAGAGATGACAAGTTGTCAGAATACCATGTTTGGGACTAAAAGTGTTTTCATTTGTTCTGTTTTATCCTTCTTTAGAAGAGCAGTCAATGCTTAATATATGTAGTAAAATTAATGTGAAATATGCTGCAATAACAATTAATAACAAGGATTCGGACTAAGGGCAGTTGTGCCGTTCATAAAACCGTAACAATTCACATGTTTTCCATCATCCTGAGAAATCAACCAGCATCCTATCACCCTGACCTTGTTTCCACTACGGTGGAAACTCCTTCTTCCTTTTGCGTGAGGTGTCTTCCCAAATAAATCTCCAAACGAAAGTGTTACAGCTAATTCTCAATTTACAACCACAATCGAGGCCAACGTTGTTGCTAAGGCGAGGCAGAGTTGAGTTTTGCCCCATTTTATGACATTTGCTGCCTCTGTTGTTAAGCGAATCACTGCCGTTCTTCAGTTAGTCACATGGTTGCTGAGTGAATCTGTGGCTTCCCCCATGGTCTTGGCTTGCAAAAAGTGATTATAAGACCTCCCAGGATTCTAAAAAAAAAAACCATTATAAGTACAAGTCAGTTGCCAAGCGTCTGAATTTTGATCCACGTGACTCATCGGGATGGTCGTAAGTGTGAAAAGGTTTTTCAGTGCCCTTGTAACATTGAATGGTCACTAAATGAATTGTTGTCAGTTGAGGACTACCTTTATGTCTTAACCACAATTGATCCAGAAGGAAATTCTACTCACTATTTTTTCTGCTCTTTATTGTTCCTTTTCCAAAAATTGGATAGTCACTTCATCTTTGTGATGACCCGGAGTGTAACACAAACGTAACAAAATCCAAAACGTAAATAAATGTCCTTTAATGCCTCCAACTTGGCCCCACTGTTCAACAATTCTCCATTCGAGATAAAACTTATTCAGAAATAGTCTTCAAAAGAAAGCAATACAGTCCAAACTTAATGAGCAGGTAGAGGTGAAATAAAAAACCTAAAACAAACTACAATGAAGGAATTTCCACAAGAGAACAGGATGAGTAATTACCAAGTTCAAGGAGATAACAAGGCCCAGTCTGTTGGAAGGACGCCGACCAAGATAACTTCAGCCCAAAATAACACACACTTTGCTTCTGGCAACGCTGTGTTGTAACCGTCTCTCTTATATACTATTCTCCCCAGCTGCAACCAATGAGGGGGATCATGGCCGCTTCCTCTCTCGTAAGCCAAGTTGTTTCCTTCTCCGTTGCTCCCTGCTTGTCGTAGGATGAAGAGGGGATGGGCCTGGGTCCTCCTCTGACTGCCCAGCCGGCCTCTGCCCTTCCCCAGCCTCCTCCACAACCTCTGGAGCCACACCTCCACTCCCTGTCGGCTGTTCCTCCTCTCCCTCAGAGTCTGACTCTAACAAGGGCATGACAATCTTCGGTTTATTTCAGTCTTCTCAAATCTTAGCATAAACCCATCGCCATTTAAAGTTCCAAATTGTGGGCCAAACATGTGCTACCCTCCATGTCTTCATTGCATCCTTTTTACTGCTCTTTATTGCCACGCACAATTTTATGACCTTCGTAATGTTTTATTATTCTTTATAATAAGTGTTTTTTTCAAGTTTTAGGAAATTTAGGATAGGTGGAGTTCAACTCCCAGCATTCCCAGTCAGCATCCTGGCTGGGGAATGCTGGGAGTTGAAGTCCATAGATGTCAGATGCGGCATTATGGGAGTTGAAGTCCACACAACGTAAATTGACAAACTCTGCTTTGCCATACATCTCTTTTTCTATCTTCTTTGTGGTGTGTCTTTTTTTGAATGCATTTTCCTTCCTTGCATTTCTAATAACCTCGAAGGAAAAATGAACTTGGGAACGTATTAACATATGATTGTCTCTTTCAATTATGATGTCAGGTAAAATTGAAGATTTCTGATTTCTGATTTTGCTGGTTCTATCAGCCGTTTAATATGTTATATAAAGTCTTTTGTCACTTGCACTTTATTCAGCTGATGCTTTGTGAAATATATGAATGCCGATTTGCGGGAAAATGTCTTGATTATATGGGATTTTAAAAGCATTAAAATAAGCTGGCTGTACGAGATTTGTAATTAAAAGCCAAAGCTGAACCAACATTTGGACTGTTAATAATAACTGTTTAATTTTGACTGCTATTTGTGTATGATCTTTTCAGGAAACCTGTGCCCCATTTTTTTTCTCACCTACATTGAAAGTCACTGCCAAGAATGGGATCTAAATCTTGTAAAAGCGAAAGACCCCTCAGGCATCATCACAAAATCTCCAGAACCATAAAGCCTACAAACTTGAAATTTGGCAGATAGGTTCCTCTCGGCTTCTAGGTGCTCACTAAGAAAGGATTTTTCGAAAGTATTTCCTATATTATTATTATTAACACGCTCTGATGCTAAGGAGTTCTACTCCCCCTCCCCACCTGAAAAGAAATCTCTTCCAAATGCAAAACACAAACAGAGGAGAGGAGTTTCAGTTTCATAGCACCAAGCAGCTTTAGTACAGAACAGTTGAGCTAAGCCACGCCCAGGCTCCTTGCTGTCTCCTTGCTCATGCAGCAAATACTGTTTCAGTTTCCAAACAGTCCTCAATTGTCTCACACACTGACGGTAT